GACATATGTAAAAAATCGTCCTAAGAAATTAATTTTAACAATGATTTTAGCAAGTCTTATTTTCAATAGGACTTGCTGAAAATTAAATCTAATTATTAAGATCTATTGATAGTTTACTCTTAATTTAAATTGCTCTCATTTTAAAAAAAAAATTCTTTATGCTATTAGAAATTTTACATATATAAAACCCAAGCATGCACTAATTTTTAATTTTGTTTGGTTATTATAAACTTTTAAATACATAAATCGTTTTACAAAATCAAATTAACGTCTTTACTATGAAAGACATTACAATAATTGCAAACATGAAAAAATATGAAATATACATTACAATGAGTTTAAATTTTAAAAAATAAAAATAAAAATTTCTATCACAATCACTTTGACTTAGGTCAAACTCTCCAAATGCAATAAAAGAAAAAAAAAAACTATATATACACAATACAATACAATATTATTTTTAAATATATCTGAATTAATATGTCAATTAATACATATTTTCAAATTCAATTTAACTATTGTTTCCGTATTATTTTAAAACGATTTGCAAAAAAAATGTTTGGATAGATTAGTAGGATAATTTTGTACAGTTTTTATCAAAATTTCAATTTTAATTTTAATTGAGAATATAAATTCTATTTTAATTCATTTTTATAAGTTTTTATTCTTTAGCCTCTTTTATAAGCATTTTTTTTTCTATTTATTTTTTTACTATATAATTATTTATATATAAATATATTCTTCACACACAAGTCTTGCATAGCACGGGTAAAAAAAATTTTTTGTCGAAAACTTGCTGACAGGCTGAATAGAATTCTTAATTTTCACTCAAAGCCTCTTTGGAACCCTTGTCCATTTTATAAATTGCCATAGGCCACCAAACGTTCTTGTTTCGTGGCAACAAAGACATAATATGAATATGGTGGTGAAGTCGAACTCTGTCCAACCACAACCACCAATCAAAACCAACATCTTGGAATCAATCTTAGTTGCTTCCTTCACAATCACCGCACTTCTGATCATACTTCAATGCGAGTTCATTAATGGCAGCCCAGTTCCAAGTCTCATATTCAAGGGACTCCCCTCCGCGTTCCACGCCTTCTTGTCTGCCTTGTTTTTGCCTTTGCTGGCACGTTGAGCGCGTTGTTAATCCACGACACATCGTTTATTGCTAAGTTCTCCAAGTACTCTTCTATGGCTTCCATGACATCTGCTCTGGCCTTGTTGATTTGGGCCATTGTTAAATGACAATTTTCAGCCAGCCATGAATATCACCACCACAGGTATATAATGATCTTCAGAAACTACTAATAAGGTTCGGTAAATTTTGTGTGTTTTGTGATTGTGTATGTGTGTAACTTTAGTGTTGTAATATGATTGATTGATGAGGCGTTCTCTATACTCCTCTACAAAATTGGTCTTTGTTACATAAAACATCTATAATTCAAACCATTGGATTTCTCGGCGTGTAAGAAAATATTATTTGAACCACAAGGGTTCGTTTGGAAAGTAGGTTAGTTTTTTAACTTTTTGATTATTTTAACTTGCGGTTAAAAAGTCTCGTTTGAAATAAGTTCTTTTTACTTTTTGTGAGAGAAAGAATGCAATGATTATGGATTGGATATGATGTTTTGTTTTATTAAGCTAAAAAATATATTTTATTTTTTTGTAGCTAAAATAACTACATACAAGCCCAACCCAACCAACCCAACCCAACCCAAATTGCTAAACGAAGGCTAAATGAGCCGGGTGTTATGTGTATTTTTGTCTGGAATGAGAAAATGGAGTAAAAAAATAGAATTATGTATAGTTTGATGTGTTGATACCACAATTAGAAATGCTATAATGTGCATTTGCACTTTGTGAGAAAAATTATGATTTTTATGATAAAAGTTATGAATTTTTGTGATGGAAGTTATGATTGGTGAAATTATTATGTATCCCTAAAAGTTATGTATAATATTAAAATTATGTTTTTTTTTTTTTTGAAGTTATATTTTTTTTAAATAAAGAAGTTAGACTTTTGTGACAAAAATTATATTTTTTGCATAAAGTGCATATCATATGCACCCTTTTAACAAAATACCATAACATAAAAAATAAACGAATTGAATTAGTATTAAGATAATTTTAACACAAACTCAAAATAATACGTCACAATACCCACCTAAAATAGAGGCCCCTAAATTTATTAAAATTTGGGTGTCAAAGACAACCAACCACCTTGGTTGCGTCTCCCAAAAGTCCGACCAACCCTAAGGGTTCATTTGGGAAGAAAAAGCCCGAGGCTTTTGGCTAGTTTAGCCACAAAAAAATAAAATAAGTTTTTTAGTCTAATAAGACAAAACATCACATCCAATCTATTATCATTACATTTTTTTTCTCAAAAAAGTCAAAAAAGTCAAAAAGTCAATCTTAAACGAGACTTTTTAGCCCCAGGCTAAAATAGGTAAAAAGCCAAAAGCCAACCGACATTCCAAACGAACCCGAAATATCCAAATCAAGAAACAAGTTTGAAACGGAATCAATTCAAACTTTGGGATCAACATTTGAAATTTGATAAATTAAGACTTTGTTTGGTATGTACTAAAATAACACATATTATTTTGACACATTATCGTATTTGGATTACAATTATCTTATTTAAGTCAAATCACCTCTCTATCACATCATTTCAAACCCAACTCATATTTCACTTTTCTTTTTCTTTTTTTTGGTTGTAAAAAATCAAAAATTATATTAATCTAACACTTCTCAAACAATCCTTAAATTTTTCATACTTGAATTAAGGACTTGCTGAAATTTAAGGACCTGTTTACTTTCTGGAATTTACGGACTTATATCTGGGCCTTATAAAGTCTGAAAATTTGGACTGAAAGTCGGTTTGAGTTGAATTCTTTTAGGCCTTTTTGGGATTTTACTTGGTTTTTGGGCATATCACATTTGAGCTCATAAAAGGCAAGCTCACAGGCTTTTCTGGACTGGAATTATGGCCAAATGTTGGCTGCCCCTTTAAAACCTTGAGACCTAATTGATCTTTATGTGCCGTGGGTTTTAAAAACAAAAACATATATATATTAAATATTTTTTTGGCCATTTATTTCAACTAGTTTTGGGCCTTCAATGGGCTAAACTTCCTGGCTTTTAAAGTTTTTACTTTTCGGCCTTATTTGGCAGGTGAATTTTTAGCTTCTTTTTTTTATATTAAAATTTATAAAAAGACAAAATATGATAAAATAGTTAATAAAATAAAATGTCACATCAAATTTATAATCATTTTATTTTTTTTCTCATAAACATTACATCCAACTATAAAATACAAAAATTTTAACATCTTAAAATAGTCAAAAATTAAAATAACATATTAAAATAATTAACTTTACAAACGAGTCCTTTGTATGGCTTAAGACTTCGAAACCAACTCTCTTTCATTGTCACAAACAACTTCTAGTGGGAACCAATAGTGTGGCCGACTTGATAAGGATATAAAAATCGAGACGAATTAATTTGGTTGCTAAAGGTCGTCAAATACGCGCTTCACTCAATTGATCCCTCCTTCAGTTGTCAAATACGTGCATTCTTAAGCTGGATTCCTTCCTTCACTACAATCGGTCTCAGTTAGGGCTCAATCAATCTCAGCTATTTCCTCTGTCTAGGACTCAATCAATCGATCTTGAGCTTCGATTGATCAATCGACTCAATCAATTGATCTTCAGCTTCGATCGATCTCAGCTAGGACTCAATCGATCTTCAGCTTCAATCCGAATCGATCTTTGTGCCGTCTCGTATCAGAATCGATCTTCACCTCATTTCTGAATCGATCTGAGTTCTTTGGCTTCAATCCGAAGGTAAATAGCGATTTGGTATGTTTTCAATCTCTTTCTCTCTGCACAGACACATCATATATACATGTACATATCTATATATATACTCCTCTGTATTCATTCAAATTGCTTGAATTTGAAATTCTGTATTCATTCAGAGCTATATAGGTACTTGATTTCATATATATATATATATATATATTGTTGTACATGCATATGTATACTAGATTTGTGCTTTTGATTTTGGTGGTGAAGATTCTTGCTATAATATGTGACTGTCAATGAATTGTGGAGAAAGATGCTATGATGTTACGTACAGAAGCTGAATAATGAAAACAATGGCAGAAAATAAACAAAGCAGAACAAGTTCTACAATTGTCACCAACTTTAATGAATTCTAAAGGAGTCCAGATTTTTTTTTGAGAAGAATTTTTTGATCATACTACAACAAAGGAGAATTAAGTAGAAAAAAGAAAACTACTATACTCAATTGCACTAATTCATCTCTCCTAAGAATTAAATTATTTTCAAAAGTCTAGATAGAATGAATTGGGATTAATGCTTTCTTGAATTCAGCAAAAAAGTGAACAGTCATTTGTAATTGGACAATGCATATTGGGCCACAAATAATAAGCAAGAGTTTAGTATAAACATGCATGCATTTGCTTGATGTTTCTGTAGTTTAACGGCTCTACCAAAGGTATATTAGGCACTAAAGAACTTTGGACCATAGATATTAACACACCATAAATCATAACACATGCATCTAATGCATGAAAGAGGGAAACAAGCCTTAATCACATGAGAGCACAAATTAGTAGATAAAGTTTGAAGAAAACTCAGGGACAGAAGAGATTAATAGAGTAAAGGGGGAAAGAAAAAAGAAACTTGCTCAGAATAATCATATGCAGGGTTTGAGAAATAAGAAAAACCCACAAAAGGAGTAAAAATCACCTCATTTTACTGGATGTTGAACATGAAAGAATATGTAAATTTCAACATTTATAGTTATCCTGACATTAAATGTAGTTTTGTTTCTGCATGTAAACTGTGTTTTCTTTCTGCATGTAAGCTGTGTTTTCTTTCAAGAAAAGATAAGGACAAAAGGGATGGAATTGTTAAGAAATATGTTGGGTTTAAGATATTCTGTTTTGATTGTTTCATCCTCTGTTCCAGGTGTCGCATACTCCAAGCATATTGTGCACCTATATACGTATCATGGTGGTGAAGATATACGGAATCACTTGGAGGTATACTTTGTGATTGGCGGACCTTGTATGCCTTGTGTATATTCCGTGTCTTTTTCTGTCAATAAAGGAAGAATAACGACTTGGTTGCCTTCATGGTTTTGACAGATTGATGCTCATACTGGTAATGTTAGCGATCTTGCTTTCTGTCACCCAAACAAACAACTATGCGTTATAACTTGTGGGGAGGACAAGACTATTAAGGTTTGGGTTTATTGGGTATTTTCTTTCATGGAATGGTGAAACTGTGGACTGCAATCATAAAATCTCATGTCTGTAGGTCTGGGATGTTTCCACTGGTTCTAAGCAGTACACTTTCGAGGGTCATCAGTTACCTGTTTATTCTGTGTGCCCACATACTAAGGAAAACATTCAGGTATCCTTTTTGTTCAAGGCTTACTTTGTGACTTTCCGTACAAGGGACCTTGACCAAAAAAAGGGCTACCCAAAGAGTTCAAAGTTAGAACTCCTTAGTTCTTTTTTCTTTTTCTAATTCAGAATAACCCTTATTCATTTTTTATATTAATGAATTATTACTTCGTTTCAAATATTTTGGAATTAGAAACTTTCTTGCAAGTTTGAACTATTTTACAATGCTATTCCAATTTGCCTGTAACATCTGTTATCTATCTGAAAATATGAGGAATGTCACACTCAAATCCTCACTTTATGAGTGGTGTTCTACGCGGTCGTTAGACCTTTCCAATCTGTTTCTTATAATTAAGTATCTTTCTTTTTCTCTATCAGTTCATCTTTTATTGATGGGAAGATTAAGGCATGGTTGTATGATAATTTGGGTTCAAGAGCTGATTATGATGCCCCAGGACATTCTTGCACAACAATGGCTTACAGTGCTGATGGGACAAGGTATATATAGGATAGGCTGTTAATTCACAAGAGGATCTATGCTTCATTTGCATCTTTTCTGATCATGTTAAAAACTCTGTAGGTTGTTCTCATGTGGGACTAGCAAGGAAGGAGAATCATACATTGTAGAATGGAATGAAAGTGAAGGAGCTGTCAAGCGGACATATCATGGTCTTCGGAAGCGGTCCGTTGGGGTTATGCAATTTGATACAACAAAAGACAGATTTCTGGCTGCTGGTGATGAGTTTGTAATCAGATTTTGGGACATGGATATTGTTAACCTCTTGACAACTACTGATGCAGAGGGTGGATTACCGGTAATAATCAAATTGCATCTCTTTTAGATTTGTTTCCCATCTTTCTGGAGAAATGTCTTGGTTTAAAGTAATAATCCTTATATAAAAAACCTCTCAGGCTTCGCCTTGCATTCGGTTTAATAAGGAAGGAACACTGTTGGCTATCTCAACAAGTGAGAATGGTGTCAAGATTCTTGCAAATTCTGACGGTGTTAGGCTTCTGCATTCCATTGAAAGTCGTGCACTTGATGCTTCTAGAATGGCTTCTGAGAGTGCTGCAAAAGTGAGTCTCTCATCAAATTTTCCTTGGCAACTTTGATATGTACATGCTCTTTTTAACATGCATTATGTATCATGCAGGCCCCCATAATTGGTACATTTTGTGCTTCCAGTTCAGTTGCTGGAACAAATGTTGGTGTTGCAGATAGAAATGCTCCAGCGATCCCTATGATTACACTGGTAAGCAAGGATACCTGTCAGGTGGACACTGGTGTGCTTCTTTCACAAAAGTTGCATGGTTTTCATTTTAATTATCCCATCTGTGCTTTGTTATAGATGATTGGATGATGTCATATGCCCAAATGGTCGTATGTGAGTACTATTCCTAATGCTTGGTTAGAGTTTTTCAAAACCTCTTTTCAGAAAATTCTACTTTCTTATTTTTCGTGTTTTTTTGTTTTTTCTAATTTTTTTAAAGATTTTAAGCAATTTTTTTTTACTTTTTAGACATACCTAACATAAATATACCTAAAAAGTAAAAAATTTGTGAAAGAAACCTTTCAAAAATTCACTAAATATCAAAAATACAAAAAAAAATACCAGAATTCTATACATATTTTTTTATTTTTATGTATTTATTAATTTTTTAAAATATTTTTTCACAAATTTTTTACTTTTTAGATACATTTAAGTAAGGTGCATCTAAAAAAATAAATAAAATGTTTAAAATTTTAAAAATATTTACTAAAAACAAAAAAATACGAAAATCAAAAAATTCAGTTTTTAAAAAATTTAATCCAAAAAACTCAAACCAAACTGCATCATATTTTACCCACTATTCATTGGGAGATTTATGATTTCAGCAGTGTACATAAGATAACATTTCGTGTTTTGGTGGTTGCTTTTTGTATCAAGGATCTAAGCCACAATAATCTTATGGGAAAGATTCCAGAATCCCTTACCTCACTTCCATATTTGAAAACATCGTAAGTTCAATGATTAATTTGTTTTGGCATTATAAATAAACTGTCAAGATCCTACACAGGAGCCTTGTTCGGGAGAAAAAAAAAAGAAAAAAAAAAGAGGTTTGTAAATAAAACTGTTTTGGCATTAATTTGTTTGTAAAAACTAGTTTGTAAAAAAAAAAAAAAGAGGTTTGTAAATAAGATCCTACACAGGAGCCTTGTTTTGGCATTAATTTGTTTTTGGCATTATAAATAAACTGTCACAATCTTCATACTTGGATACTTCTAGCACGGATTGTTGTATGGCTGGTAGGTTTGTAAATATTTTAGTTTATATTCTTTGTTGGTTGGTTGTTTATTCTTTTCATCAAATTCATATGTTAGACATTGATGTGTTTTTTCTATACGCCAACATTTTAGAAGTCTCCCTACCATGGAATCAGCCCTTGCAAACCCACATGAAGATATCGAAAAAAAGGCGATACATCTGTCAATTATGGGATGATAAGACGTACCAGGTAATTGTTGAACACACTTGTAATGCACTTGCACACACTTGGGCTGCTGATGATGCTACAGCTGCTGCTATGGCGAATGCTGCTGCTATGCATGTAGCTGCTGCTGTTACTAAGCATTTGGGCACATGGACTTGATTTCTTTTGAATATATTTTTACACTTCATGCAGGAGAAATGTCAGAAAAACAAGGAAAATCGGTTTGAGCTTAAAGTCCTCCATACTGTTGTTCCAACCCACATGCATGAAAAACATGGGAAGGCAACCAACCAAGTCAAGCTTGGCAGCCACCAACCATAGCAAGGGTCAAGAATGGAGGCTACCCAAGTCAAGAATGAAGGCTCTCCCACCTACTCCTTTTGTGTATAAATAGAGACGGGAGGGAGAGGATGAGAGATATCAGAAATTGGAGAGTAAGAGCTGTGAGTTGAGTGAGTTTCATCTCCTCCTCTGTATTTTGTATTTTGCTCCATTTTAGTGAAAATTCTCATTTCTGTCCGTGGATGTAGGCATTGGGCCGAACCACGTAAATATTGTGTTCTCTGTGTGTGTGTGATATTTTTCTGGGTGTGTGTTTGATCCTAACACTTCTTCTATTGGAGGCTATGCAACTCTCAGAAGTCACTCCAAAGCATTCTGAATTCTTTCAAGGCACCATAAGAGACTCAGAATGTTGTGAACAAAGGAATAGTGACCCAAGTGTATGACTGGCTCTAGGGTTGAGCAATGTTGCTAGTGCAGGCCCTCTATCGAACACTCAGCTGATGATTATAATAATGTCATTCGTGCTTTCACCAGACCGAAGGGATAAGGTGCCTTAGCTCAATATTAAGGGTTGTTATTTTCACTGCAATTTTTCATAATATTTGTGACTGAAATGTATAGTGCCTATTTTAATTGTAACTCAAAACTGCTATTATCCTTCTTCATTGTATGGATGAACTCCACTAGTTTTACCTTGTTTACTCACTTGCTCTACCAAGTAAATTGCGGAGCCAGGAGCCAGGATGATTTGTCTTGTCAGGGAGCAAAACCTCACATTGAGAACCAACCATATGTAAAATTAAACTACAAATAAAATTATGTTTCCCAAATATTCACTGGGGGCAAATTATATATATAAATATATAGAAATATAAATCAATACGTGTTGCCAATTGAGTGTCAGGTCTAGTAAGAATGTATAGGGACTTTTCTTGAATGCGAATGTATAGGCACTTGACCCAAGCGATAAACCTTTGGTTTCCTGTGAAGAAGGGGGTTGAGCCGGTACTGGAACCATTCTCAAGTTGGGAATACTGGGTTTCATAATACTGATTGTAATGATGAAACTCTTATGACTGGAAATCTACTTATATTTATATTTAAGGGTTTAGGTTTTAGGGAAAAATTTAAATGTATTTCTCTTCCTAAACCTTATATATATATATATATATATTATTAAAAAAAAAAAACACATTTACTGGTTATTGTGGGAAAAAAGTTCAAAGTCCATAAAACACAGATTTAGTTTGTGCAAAAAACTAAGGTTGTGTTTGAATAATAGTTTTGGATTGGGTAAGAATTTAGACAAAAAGAAAAGGTGAGATAAATATGAATGAAATAGTTTTTATTTTTTATTTCTCTTTCTAACGTCTTATCTAAAATTAATGATCTGAGCAGTTTGGTGTAAAGGTAAAATTTTCTGTATGTGAGCGGTTTTGTGTAAATGTAAAATTTTCTGTATATTGGCATCACTGCTTAGTTGGTGTAAAGGTTTAAATCTCATATTTGGAGTCTAGATGGATGGAGTGCAAATTTATTTACATATATGTGAATAGTACACAATATTTCATTGATCGAATCAATGTGATGGTCTCACCAAAAGTATAAACTGGAATAATGAATAATGATATATACATCAATTGGTATATTAATTAGTGTATTAACAGATGACGTGAGATAATTTTAGACGTTTTAGGTCTTTGTAATTTGTATAATAGAGATACAATAGAGTGGGGGTTACACGTGTAAATACTAACAAATATCTCATCCCGACCATATCTGCCAGGTGTTAACACTAATCAAAGTCTTGCATAATCATGTCCCGGAACTGGCCGCCGGATCAGAAACAGGGAAATAAACCAGGACTATAGTCAGTGAGTCTTAAGCAACGATGCATGTAAGTGGCCACCGTTATTTATAATGAATCATCCGGTGTGAACAAGGGACTGGCGATGACCCATTCGTCCTGTCAATATCTAACTCGATTGCTGTTTGTAACTACGGGCTACACCAAAATTGCTCGAGAATTGAATTTGAGGTTGTAGCCAATAGGAAATGGCAACCAAGGATCCTCTAAGAGTCTTGTCTTTTTTCCATAAGAAGTTTCACTATAACTAGTTGGTGGTGTTATGTAGTGTGGTGAGATTTAATACTAAAAAAGGAAAATTTGATAGACTGCACATGTCTCGGACTTTGTCATTAATCCTCGTCAACACATCACCAACAACCCATCAATCAGCCCACTCTAGGGGCAATCAGAACTTTATAGGGAACGTAAACCAGAACTCTAGAGGACCTTACTCGTAATAATGAAAGCAAAGTGAATGGGTTGAGTTTTCGATGTAGATATACAAGAAGCGTAAAACTCATGTTATCCTCAGATTTTGAACAAAAAATAATAAAGTATTTTTTGAAAAACCAAGTAATTATAGAAATTGAATTTAAAGAAAAAATTATATGGAATCCAAGTAAGTTTTAACATACTTATGGGTGTTTAAACAAAATGTGTCATAACGTGATTGATATAAATTATTGTAAAAAAGGAAAAAAAAAAAGAGGAAACATTCAAGAAACATGCAAGCGCATTTTTTTTAAAAAAATTGTATGGTCTTGAATTAATAGACTGGGCATGACCTGCTAGAGCATACCTCTTCAAGGTTCGTTCCTATGCGCGTCATCTTCAACTTAAGGCCAATATGTGTCTTGTCAGAGTAAGTGAGAAAAATGGCAAGTTAAGACTTTTACAAATGAGAGTACGAAGATGTTGTGTAGTGTTTTACGGTGTTAGGGTTATGGAGGAAAGCTAAGGGAAGCGATATATAGGAGGCGTGTGATGAGCTTTGTGTATTTGGGATTTGAGACATTATTGTATATGAAAAAATTCGATGTCCATATAAGACGACTAAGATTCTTGAGCGCCCGAGTTCCAGCTAGACTTGACTTTAGTTTGGTTTGTTAGAAAAGTAATTATGGAATGAATTTGTTTTTATTGCATAGTAGAAGTAGTTTTTTTTTTTTTTAGGATCTATCCATTCGTGGATTGAAAGGTTAAAACTTACCTGTAGCAATATGTGCAAGGAAGTCTCCTTTGAGCATTCGCGATATATTTCTAGTTCGTCTTCTTGGAAAAGACGAGAGATGTAAACAAGGCATCTAACCAGTCTTCATCAAAGCGGTATCGTCCTTCAGCAAGTTGATCATTGTCATGCGTACAGCTCTTGCCCTCCACATCAGTTTTCTGTCATTGGACTTGTCCCTCTGGATCTTTGAGGAAGCAGAAAACTCTCGAGATCAATTGTGAGTTAACGGGGCGCTGTGTAGATTATCCTTATAGAAAGTCTCTCCAAGAGCCAAGCAACGAATCTGGTTAAGATCGAAATCGAACAATATGACACAAAGCAAAGTCAAACGTATGTTACCCTGTTGAATAACCATGTGACCATTACATTGAAAACGGTATCCTGCCGTAGAAATGAAAATTCACTCTTAACGCGGTAAACCAAATAGGGTGATTACAATGGACCGAGTTTGACATAAGGGCACATCAAAATATAGGTATACACATAAGACATAAAATATTAAGAAATGGCACATAAACGAGCGGAAGAATGATATAGCATATGCACAATAAATTGCGATCTTCTATTGGAGCAGTAAGCACAAGAATGAAGTCAAAAAAAACTACTAGAATTTCTGCGATTGGCTTTTGGGTAGCAAATAAATAAATTGACTGGGAATATAAAGACACAGAGTTGAGTCACCACATTATTTTATTCGTTAGTCAATGCATAAGTGCAAGTCGTACTTTTTCCCCTTAAAAAATGGAAAAGTCCAGGAAAATAGCAATAACCGGAAATCTATAACTGAAAGCATTTGCATGATTAAGTTGTTCAAATTATTTAAGTGCCGGCCGAGTAACCATGCAGGCGATTCCTATTTGATTTTGTAACTTCACAAACAGTAAACTTCTTTGAGAGTATGCTCAGACTGAGGCTCCCTTACCCAAGCATAGCAAATTGCGGCAAAATTCTCTTCTTCAGCAAATTTAAAATAAACTTTAGACAAGTTTGGATCCACAGATAGGTTAAATAATTTAGACATCAGATAGACTCTTACAAAAATACAAAATGTGGGCACTGGAGTGCACTAGCGTATGGAAGTGGGTAGATACAATTCAAATAATCTTCTGCTGCTCCACCGCCAAAGCTTTGAGTTAAGATACATGATGGATGTTATTTGAACTCTGTCTCTTTCTAGATTTATTAACTTAAAATGGAGAACCATTATGATATTTTCCACCTTAATGATCCATTTATACACCCTACGAGGCGGCATGAAGAAATAGCAATTAAGCAAGAGATACTCACAGCGAGAGCGAATCTGACTTGACAGGCAGTTACGCAAGGAGTGTAATGAACATTAGTAAGGTGTAGTGCATTATTTTCACTGGCCTGTAAAGTCCTGATGTCAACCAATATATTGAGACGGCTATTTAGTTTTGGCTTAAATTCCAATATAACACAAGTGTCTGAGAAGTTTATAATGAAACACATTATTTTTTGGCATGATATTGACGCAAACCGAGAACTACGTCAATTTGACTTTGGCAAATAATTATCTTCTCGTCGAGTCAGCTCATTTTTGGCCTACAAAAAACACTTCCAAAATATTGCACTCCATTTTGGTGCA